CGATAAACGACGTCATTTATTTTCGTGACAATCTTGTAGGGTCCTTCCCAGTGCGTTTGCAATTTGGGGCATAGTCCTTTCTTTCGTTGTGGGTTGAACAATAGTACCAATTGCCCTTCTTGAAACCCATCGGTATTTGCCGCTCGATCGTACCTTGCCTTCATGCGGTTGCTAACCATTTTTATTCGATGGCGAACTGCATCGTGGACTTTGCTAAAAGAGTTTTGGCTGTCTTCATCTTGGTTCACATCGTCGTTTGGGGTAGCACCGAATATCAAATCGCCAGGTAGCTTTAATTCATTTCCGAACAGAACTTTGGCTGGGGTCCGGGATGTGGAATCATGAATGGCCGATCTATAAGCCAATAAAAACTTTGGAATATGCTCATCCCAGTCTCGTTGGCCACTGTCCACCACTTTCCGTAGATGTTCTTCAAGGGTGCGATTGAATCTTTCCACCATACCATCTGATTGTGGATGTAGGGGCGTCGTTCTGGTTTTCTTAATTCCGTAGGAGTCACACATTTCCTTGAAGATCGCTGATTCAAAATTCCTACCTTGATCGGAATGAACCTCAGATGGAACACCATAGCGACAAATCCAATTTTTGCTGAACACATCCACAATTGTCCTGGCTTCTTGATTTGGGATAGCATAAACCTCCGGCCATTTACTGAAGTAATCCATGACCACTAAGACATACCGGTTCCCAGAGTCGCTTGTGGGGAACGGTCCAGCTACATCCATTGCGATTCTTTCAAAAGGGGCTCCTGAATTATACTGCTGCATGTAGCCTCGACTCTTCCGTGTTGGACCTTTAGCTTTTATGCACCTTTCACAATTGGCAATCCAGTCGGCAATGGATTTTTGACAGCCGACCCAGTAGAATCTCTGCTTTACCTTTTCAGCGGTCTTTGCTATGCCAAGATGTCCTCCACTTGGCCCATCGTGAAACTCCGACAAGACATCTCTTATTTTGGAGTCTGGGACGACGATCAAGTTCCGGTGAGATTTACCGCCCTCACTTTCCCATTTGCGATATAGGCAGCCATCTTTTATAAGTAGACTGTCCCACTGGGCCCAATAGGATTTTAAGAGAGGCCTTTCGGAGGTAATTTCTTTGCGACTAGGTCGCTTGCCCGTTTCTATGGCCGAAATTATTTTGCCCAAAATGGGATCTCTTCGTTGTTCCGTCGACCAATCTTCTCCCGACTCAAACTGCAATCGTCGGACATCCACGATATTCTCTTTGCACTCAGCCTTTGAGCAGTAGCTGTATTCTACCTTGCATGGCCGACGAGACAGGGCATCAGCATTACCGTATTTTCCGCCTTCTCTGTGCTCGATTCTGTTTAACGGTGACTCATTGGTGGACTGTTGAGCCATTCTTCTACCATCTTTCGTTGGGGTTGGTGACGATGACCTGGATCGTTTGCGCTTAGCTCTGCATTCGCGCGCAATATGACCTGCTTTATCGCAGTTGTAGCATCTAACCCTGTGCTTAGTCATCCCTACAAACTTTGTTTCTTCTATTACCCGCCTCATGGCGTCCTTGATCAAGTTAACGAGAGATTTGTGTTCGCAACATTCGGTCTCCAGTTGGCTAATCTTGTGGGTCTGGGGCTTAACAATCATTCTTGCCGTCTCTTGGGCAAGGGCAAACGACACAGTTTCGGCAAACGACGCTTTTGGTGACGCATATGTTGCACATTTAATCTCAGGGTCACGTATGCCATTCACAAAGGTTTCGATTTTCATACGGTCCAGCAATGGGTGATTCTCTCCTGGATACGCCATTAGCACCAAACGTTCCACCTCAGCTGCAAAGTCTTGTAGCGTCTTCGGCCTGAAACATTTTTGATTGCTGTATCAAATAATATAGAAAGATGCGGAAAAGTATTACTGACGGCTTTCGCTTAAATTCAATAATGGGCGCAAATAATAAAGGTATATTTTATAATACAAACTGCAAACATGAATTCTGAAATATATATATTTTATGCAGAAAATGTAATATACATAGATCATACCAATGGTCAGCAAATGACATCATGAAATGTCAACCATTAAACAAGGTAATTTGAGTGATATTATTAATATTAATTGATCAATTGATTTAACTATATATTTTTTAAAAGGCGCTGCCGGCGATTATCAGTACATAAAACGGTCAAATTGATTAATAATCATTTTTTATGTTTAACCAGTAAGGAAAGAACTAAAGTCGGTCTTCACCCTTCACCACTTTGGGTATATTGAACTTATGTATCCTAACAGACGACGCGTTTTGTTATAAATCTATATCTGAACCGATTTCAGGGAAACTTTCCAGAGACTAATTTATATAACATTACCTTAAATCGGATGAAAATACATATGGGAGCTATATCTAAATCTGAACCGATTTTCACGAAACTTGGCAGACATCATTTTCGATCTTACTCATAACTCTGTGCCTGTACCACAGTGTGGTGAAGGGTATAAAAATTAAATTAAAAACTAAAGCAATTTTTATGCAATACTTACATATAATTTTCATAAATCTTAAAGATATTAAAAGTCGGAGTGTTTATGAGCATCAAATTGAAATAAAAAGTCTAAAAAAACCATGGAAATCTATTTAAAGGAAACTAACAAAAATCAAATGGCAGCACAGATGTTAATTAAATCACTTACGGAGCAAGTAATTACTCTAAAGAATGAGATAAGACATTCCATAATGCCCACTTCCTTAGAAAAAGAATTGCAATTGTTGCCATAGCTGCCATTTTATGTTTTCGACGATTTTAAAAATTTTTATGCAAAACTTTTAAAAGAAGATGAAGTTCGGGATCAATTGGTAATAATATATAACTTCTATCATAATGTCTGCCACCGTTCTAAATACAATTTTTTACAGAAATTATTAATAAATCGTGTTGGGGGAAGAGAAATGTCATCATTTGTTAAATTAGCAATTAATGCTGTTATAAGTGATCAAAAATCAATTGAAATAACATGGCGTGGAACTATATAAAAAAACCCAGTTTTTAGCGATTTACCACATATACTATAATAAGAGGCAAGTCAGCTTAAAGTTTATCAACAACATATTTTACACGCTCGGAATAGAATACACAAAAAACAACCGAAGACTGTAAATCAATAAAATTTTTGAAAAATTAACTATTCGCCCATGTGCTGCATTTCGAGTTTGCTCGAATGTGAAACATTTTCCCAAATTTGGTGTGCTCCATTCCGAATTCCCAAAAAAATATTGGGAATATAATTCGAGCACGTATAGCCTTGTAGATTGAAAACGAAATGAGATCGTACGTGTTTTTCTGAGCAAGTATAAATAAAATAAATTAAAATCCATAAAATATCCATAAATGCTTATTTTAACACGTTCTAGTATCATTAGACTTTTTCTGGTAGAAACCAAGGCAATTAATAAGCCAGCAGGCATATTTTTTCTTAATTTTGTTGTTAAACAAATTGCAAATTCCAATGATACATATGTTTTTTTAATGAACACATTTCGTAACATATTGAACACAGCTTTGCTTTCGAGCCGCACTTTCGCTCGAAATTGAGCACACCATTTTGCACAACATGGGAATTTAAAAAAGAATGGGAATTCAAAAACTCTCGGAACATGTCACATGGGCGATTATTATAAATTAACTAAATGTTTTTAGCTTTGCTTAGTATTAACCTTCTTTAGCGTTAAATGTTCAATTTTTTATGCATAATATACGTTACTCATTATTATTGCAATTACTCATTCATACAAGTATTTTATTTCCTTTGGGTATCAGAATTGATATTGAAGAAATGAAGCACGCATTCGTCACATCTTAAACGTATCTTCTTAGTGAAAGTTGAAAGTAGCTAAGGCGATAATATTTAAGGTAACAAAACAGTGTCATTTTAGAGTGTCGCTTTATTAACTTCTAATTGTGACTAAGAAGATACTTCTTAAAGGTAACGAGCACTATAACTTATTTGTTAAAAATACGATATCGCCTACGAGTGTTTTCATCGTCTTGTAGTAACTTTTTGGATATATTTTGGATAGAAAATGCTAGCTGTGTATTTTGTTATATTTTTCAAAACATTACACACACAGTCACATATTTTGTATATGACTTTGGCATAACAAGCCACAGTATGAAAATGAAAAAAATTGTAATTTATAGGTTTCTATGGCCTGCCTTGAATAATTGTACCATGGGTACATTCATGCAGATGTCTACTTGCCATAAGTAAAATTGGGGCTATTATATCTATTATATGGAAATCATTCAGAATATATACAAATCATCGGTTTTAAAACAGCGTAAATTAAAAAAAGGTGCACGAACCTGATAAGTGCAAACAATTTAATTTTAATATATTAAAAGTATCTATATGTGTGATTTTATGTAATGTAATTATGTTCCCCTACTGGACAAGTGGCAACATTTTCCAATTTCACACTTAGTTTATTACTTATTATACTATTTAATTAAATCCTTTTAGTTAAATCCAGTACGATGTAAACGAGAATGTAAATTCTCTTATTTTATAGTCCATAGAACAATGTGTTATCATGTTATAGTGAATAACGAAACGAAGTGTAATTCAATGAACTAGTCTTCCTACACCTCATTCGTAAACAATCCAACTCCTTTTTAGTCTCCATCCCACCTCATTCGTAACTTTACGTCTTCTTTTTTGACTTCTTCTTTACCGGGCATTTTGTCTTATCACATCCCATTCGTAACAGGTGGAACGTTTTTCAAAAATTTATCTATTCTCAGAGTGTAGACTCTTCAACACCTCGACACCGTTCTGGAAGTACTGAAGGCCCAAAAAGACTGTTTGCGCGGAAAATCTTTCTCCATTCCGTTGTTTTTCGTTTTTCTAAATATTTTGTTTTAGTCTGATATTGGCAATTTTTTGTTTTATTGTTTTTATTTTTAAAAAACTTGTCGGCTTGTGTTGTCATTTTAGCGGCGAGGTTGTTTTCTGTTTATAATGGGAGGAGGTGATCTAGTAAGTAATCATTTTTATTAATTATTATTTAATTAAATTAATTGTAAACGATATTCTTTCATAGAATTCCAAGAAGTCATGGCATCCCCATACATTGAAGAACCAGGAACAGGTTTGGAAGGCCGAACAGGCAAAGGCGTTGGAAGAGAAAAAACTTGAAGATCTGAGAAAAGAAATACAGCAGGAACGTGACATGGAAGACCTGAAGAGGGCTGGGCGTGAGAGTGGCGTTTTGTCTGGTGGTCATGAAGGCGACAAAAAGTTGGACTGGATGTACAAAAGTAAACTTGAACATTTATTTCTGAGAATCCAATAATAATCGATTCTTGTGCTTTTAGGTACCCATGAACTAATAAATAGAGAAGAATACCTGCTGGGCCGCAAAATTGACAAGTCATTTGAAGCACTTCAGGCTGAGGAACAGCAAAAGGAGAAAAACAATCTTGTGGGTGTAAAACAACCATTGAATCACGTGGAGCATGAATGTGTGCCGTTTTCGATTAGAGCTTACAAAAACATCCAAAGTACCGAACAGGTTGATCTACAGCGAAAATTCATGGAAGATCCGTTAATGTTGATTAAACAACGCGAAATGGAAACCCGAAGAAAAATACTTGAAAATCCGGTCAAGTTGAAAGAGCTGCACAAAATCCTGAAAACGGATGAAAAATTAAAGAAGGAAGCTAAGAAACCCAAGAAATCGAAGAAAAGCAAAAAACCGAAAAAGAAACATAAGAAGAGAAGTAAATCCAGTAGTTCCAATTCATCGGAAAGTGATTCCAATAGCGATAATGACTCCGACATAGACAGTAAGTTGGCCAAAAAACTCAAAGTTGGATTACTTGACGAAAAGGATTTTTTGGAGAAGGGGTTGAATATAGATAAAATTTTGGATTCCAAATATGAAAAAATTTCTCAAGAGTTGGACAAAGCGGCAAAATCAAAACATAAGTCAAAAAAGAAGAAACGCAAAGACAGTAGTGAAAGTGATGACGAGGATAACTTTAGAAAGGAAAAATATCAAGATGGTAGGAAAGGACACAACAAACATGAATCTGAACATTACAATCGTCAGAATGGCAAGCGGGATTCAAGTGAAAGACGCAAGCGTTCACCTATAAAGTCATCACATAAAAACCGTTATAACGATAGAGATAGATCGCGTTCAAAATCAATTGATCGAACGCGTAGAAGATCTAGGTCAACATCTAGAAATCGAAATGTGAAACGAAACAATAATCGGACAGATAAATCTCCATCGCCTGATACTAAACGGTTTGATAGGCGAAGAAATAGATCGTCTTCTTTAGAGAGAAGCAATCGTTATAATAGAACTAAAAGGGAAGATAGATCGAGATCGCCACGCAACAGACGTGTATCTAGATCTCCATCCTCCAATAGACGCACAAATAGATCGAGATCACGTTCTAACGAAAAATCGAGTCGGCATAGATCATCATATAAAGCCCGGTCACGGTCTAGTTCACCCAGGCGCAGGGTGGATTCACAGAAGTTTCCACAGAGATCTAGATCTCCACGCCGTTCTCCTAAAAGCAATAGGAAACTGTCACCCAAGTCCTCATCCACTGCCGCCAGTACGCAGCGGCCATCGGGCCGCCTAACCGATGAAGAAAAACAACAACGATTGAAAGAAATGATGGCGAATGCAGAGTGGCGCGAAGAAGAGAGATCACATGCCGTTCGAAAGCACCGTGAAGACTATGCCCGCGAGGAAGAACAAAACAAGAATAGAGAATTCGACAAGGATTTCCTAAACAAAGAAGTTAAAAAGGCAATAGCTAATCAGACATCGGTCGGTTCCCGCTTGAGAGCCAACCTTAATAATATTCAACGAACGTCGTCGTCTATGAATGATAATTTCATTAGAAAATAGTTTTAAATAAAAAAACAAATGAATACAAAAAACTTGTTGGTTGTTGTATGTGTATGTAGTTTATGCTTTATTGGAACATTTAATCAACAACTAATAATTTATTTTTCATAAATTAGCTTATATGTGTATATATGGGCGACGAATTCAACGTCGGAACGACAATCAAGTTGCAATTTCGATACCCACAATATATATGTATTGTTCTTTCCACTTCAACATGTGCTAAACTATGTGCTTCGTTCTACTTTTTGATGTACCACCTACATGGATCTATGCATTACTCAAAGCAGCAACACCTGGCAATGTCTTGCCCTCCAACAATTCCAACGATGCACCACCGCCGGTCGAAACGTGCGAAACTTGAGATTCGGTGTTCCACTTGGCACAGCAAGAGGCAGTATCACCACCACCAATAATCGAAACGCAGCCATTCTTGGTGGCTGCTACAACAGCGTCCATAACAGCTTTTGTGCCGTTGGCGAAATTGGCAAATTCGAAGACACCTGGAGGACCGTTCCATACAATGATCTTGGCGCGTGCAATTGGTTCAGCGAAAGCGGCTCTGGTTTTAGGTCCAACATCCAAACCCATGTGTCCATCGGGAATGCCACTTTCAACTGTGGCTTCGCTAACGGCAGCATCTTCAGCAAATTTATCGCCGCAAACAAAATCGACGGGCAAATGAAGTTGGACATTGTTCTTCTTGGCCTTATCAACTAGGTTTTGTACAATTTTAGAACCTTCCTCATCGAACAATGATGAGCCGATTTTCATGTTGTTTAATACTTTCAAGAAAGTAAATGCCATACCACCGCCGATAATCATTTCGTTGACCTTATCCAAGAGATTCTCAATCAATTGGATTTTGTCGGCTACCTTGGCACCGCCGAGAATAGCTAAGAAAGGACGTGGTGGGTTATCCAAGGCTTGTGAGAAGTATTTCAACTCCTTATTCAGCAACAAACCGGCAGCACGCTTTTCAAATCCTTCGCCCATCATGGAACTGTGGGCGCGATGGGCAGTACCGAAAGCATCGTTAACATAAACATCACCCAACTTGGCCAAGCTTTCACGGAAAGCTTTAACCTTAGCTGGATCAGCCTTAACCTTGGCACCGGTAGCATCTACACCTTTGCCCTCCTCCTCAACATAGAAGCGTACGTTTTCCAATAAGATAACGCTGCCCTCTGGAGGATTTTTGCACTTTTCCTCGACTTCGGGTCCAACGCAGTCATTAAGGAATGTAACATCCTTGCCCAACAACTTCTTCAACTCCTCGGCAACGGGAGCCATAGTGTATTTGGGGTTCTTGTTGCCATCAGGACGTCCCAAATGAGACATCATTATGACGGCTTTAGCATTCTTCGAGAATGCATATTTCACACTATCCAAGGCAGCGACGATACGTTGGTTGCTGGTAATTTTGCCGTCCTTAATGGGGACGTTGAAGTCGACTCTGTAATTGTAATAATGCATTTACATAAAAATATTGACCGATTTCAAATCTAATCTTATAAATATTACCTCATCAAAACTCTTTTTCCAGCCAAATCCAAGTTTTCAATGCTTAACTTGTTCAGAGCCATCTTGAATAATCTATGTATGCAGGAGATGAGTTTGGAATCAATTGATTACGCCTTCGTTGGGAAGAAAACAGGACCTGACTACCCTTAAAAGTACGAAATTCAACGGCTGAATGTCAAGTGAAGGTCAGTTCAATCACGACCAGTGATGTCTACTTACATCAAAACAGCTACTATTTGCAAAACAACGATATTTTAGTAAATTCACATGCTATGATTTATCGGATGAAATGTTAGCACGGAATAGAGATGATAAAAAGTCGTGTTTGATGTCTACATTTACAAAAAATTTCTCATTACATTAAAACATGTCTATTCCAAAACCTGCAAGAATGTCGTGTGGACCACAGGAAAAAATGCATCCGTTAAAACGATATGACAAATCATATGAATTTATTTTAGTTTAGGGGCCGCTCTATTTATGTATGCATTTTCATATGTAAACCAAATAAATCAGCTGTTTTATTTGTTTGGCAAATGAAAATAAATTTCTGATAAAAAATAACTCGAAGAAATAAAGTCAAATTTGTGGAAGGGAAAATGCATATACATGTGTGGACACTAAAGTAAAAAATGTATGTAAAATGATATACAGTAGACCACGGATATAAGAACATCTTATATAAGAAAAACACGGATATAAGAAAATGTTTCACCCATAAATGAAAACAGTTTGTTATATAAAATACATTCATATAAGAAAAACCCGCTTATAAGAGCAAATTTCTCGATTTTTTTGGATGTTCTTATATCCGTGGTCTACTGTACCCCGCTTTGTCTATTATTCTTAAAGCGGACCACACACGTCAAGCATGTCCGTTCGATCGGTGTGAAGCTGTTAAGGGGGAAACACAAAAGAAGACTTCAGGATTGGCATGTTAAGTTGGCTTGGAGAACGGCGCCCAAATTCAAGTTTGACTCTTATATTCCTTTATAAATTGACATTTCATACAAAGCCAACTTAACATGCCAGGCCTGAATCTTCGTATGTCTTGCCCACAAAGGGGGAAACACATACGACAAAACTAATTTCTTGTTTTTGAAGCGTGAAGATGGACAGCGAAAAAAAAAACGAAAATTGTTATTTAATTTAAATATATTAATTTTATTTTATTCCGCGAAAAATATTTTAGTTTCCCAAACTGTAGGTTATGTGTTAAAATCATCAAAGATAATATTCCAGAACATGTTTTACGTATGATTGACATTGTCCGCGCGCCACATTATACATATAAGAAAATATCCACACACTAGTCCACAGACGTCAAACATGTGCGCACAACCAAAAATTAAAAAAAAACATAGTTTTATCCATGGTATAATTATTACAAGGTAGGGCACAGCTACCAACTGATTACAATTTTTTCTGAAGGTGGCTTGTTCCATCAAATCAAAATACATATTTTGTGTATGTGTGTGTATTGTTTTGAATACTATGTCAAATAAATTCAAAATAAATTGAAATATATTCAAATTTAATTGAAATGAAAACTATGTTTTAAGAGGTTCGTCTGGAAGTATTTACTTTGTTATGGATGAAACAAACATTTGATGGTTTCTCTACTGGATTTTGGGAATAAATCATAACCTTTCATTCATTTTTCTCGTTTTTAGTTTTGTGTTGAATAAATGTGAAATAAACACAAACAATTGTTGCGTATATTTATTTTAGTTTTGGCAGAAGAAGCCACACTTGCATAGTTGTTTTTTGGCTATCCAACTCAAGCTGCCCTACCTTGTATTATTGTACCAAGGTTTTATCTGATAATCTTCCAAACCATTTTGTTTGTGTTCACAATAGTTTGTTTACATTGTACTGGATTTTGTTAACTCAGAGGGTTTAAATTGTAAATTTCTTAGAATATATGCCAAATAAATCCTTAAAGTAGGTTAACCCGGTAAGAAGTTCGAGTTTAGGGTTAGGTTAAGTTTCAAAATATATTTTAATAACAATAGGCATTAGTTATTATATTTTGTAGTTTTCCTACAGAGCAAACTTTCCCAAAATATGGTGGAGTTCCAACCATTTCAGTAGGGGCACCGCCTTTGGCGTAAATTCCCAACCCTGCCACTATAAGCTTTATAGTACGTTTACTTTTATCCGGATGTCGTTTGCCCTGTCAAATAAATCTTCATAAAGTAGGTTAACCCGGTAAAAAGTTCTAATGTACAAGGAGTTTTAAGGGGGGACACATACGAGGACTCCGACCTGCCCTGTTAAGTTGGCTTCTTCCATTTTCTATAGTTCGCGGCACATATCAGCTCACTATTTCAACGGGTGATGAAAATAGCTACTCCAGGTGACACCGCGGGGAGGTCAGTGACCAACATAAGCCTGGGCTTCGCCATGTTATAGCCAATCAGAGCCGTTGCTTGGTATCTATCATCCCCGTACTAAGAACTTCAGTACGAAATAGTGCGGCAGTATAGTGTGTGATGGCCATAAGTCTCAATTTAGATTAGGCGAGTTTACTTGCGGCAAGTCTTTGTTTGTAGGAGAGAGGGGCAAGGGGAAAAGAAATGGAAAAAAAATTTCTCGTACCGACAATTGTTTGGCAATTCGTTTTGTGTATTTCGTATTTGTTGACATTTTATATATATTTAAATATGAAAAAACAACAAATAAAAAAATATTTTGGAAACCGAATTGCCCTGTATAGACGCATGAAGCAAGTTCAAAAGAGAACGATAAAAATTGCCGCAAGTAAACTCGCCTAATATAAATCAGGACTAAGGTATATTTTGTTTACTAATTATAATTTCTTTATTTGGTGATTACAAAAATTGTTACTTGGTTTCAAAATACTTATTTTGTTCCTTATTGGTATCTTTCCAGATCTTAAATATCGTAGACATCTGGGCTTGGGATTTCCACAATTTTTGGTGCTGCCGTATTGAAACTGTTCGGGCTTTTATGTCCTTAAGGCGATTCTGGTACCATTTGCAGACAATTGCTAATGATGAAACCACAATTTTTGCAAATGCTTGGAGGTTGATGATGTTGGCGATGTCTTATACAAAAACACAAAAAATACAAACACATGAAATACTCAAACGATTCGATTTAACTCACTTGATCTTGCTCGCGCTAATACCTAAAGGCGCGTTTAGACTATAACTTTTATCGTGATAAAGTGCATTATCTCGATTTAATTGGTAAATCGAACTGAATTTACCTCGATATACCATATAAAATTAAATCCAGTCAATATCTTATAATATCCCGTAGGGAATAACATAAAATGTTTATTTCATCCATAACAAAGTAATTACTTCCAGACGAACGTGTTAAAAATTTTATTTTCCTTTTATTAAACATGAATATTTTTCAATTTATTTTGAATTTATTTGAAATTGTATTCAAAACAATACACACACTTCGAGAATTTCATTTGTAATTCATAGAACAGCTTTCGAAATTCGCAGAATTCCATTTGAAATTTACAGAATTCCATTTGAAATTCGTAAAATTCCATTGGAAATTACTAAAATTCCATTTGAAATTCATAAAATTCCATCCAACTTTCAAATAAATTCAATTGAAAATCGTAATATTTGATTTGAAATTAATAACATTCCATTTTAAATTGGAAAAATGTTATGAGAAACACCCAAAATATGTGTAACACATTAAGGTGGGTAATAATGTATGTACATATTAATGTAATATACTTTATAATTTTAAATACGTTATACTTTTTTGCATCATGGACTTTAATGTATGTATTTAAATTTAATTTATATAGATTATTGACAGACCTTAATGTTGATTTTTATTCATTCTTTTAAAAACCGCATATATATATCTTTTATGAATTTGTCATGTATATATGTATATATATATATATATATATATGTGTATATATATATATATGTGTGTGTTAGTTTGTTTTTTAATACTATTTTTCACTACATAAACCAGTAAGGAAAGTTTAAAAGTCGGACGGGGCCGACTATATGATACCCTTCACCACTATGGGTACATGCAAGACATGTTAATATCTACAATATCCTGTAGATATAGACATTTCGCATACATCAGTCGGGACCTAATTCAGTACTCTGTGTAAAATTTTGCTTCAATCGGACCAATATTGGGAGTTTGGTGCACAATTTACCTTAAATCGGACGAAACTATATGGGAGCTATATCTAAATCTGAACCGATTTCAACAAAACTTCGCATTCATCAATGACCCAATTTAGTCCGCGGTGCAAAATTTTGTCTCAATCGGATAAATATTGGCAGTATGGCAGTATTAGCATATTTAGATATAAATCTGAACCGATTCCAACAAAATTTCTCATACATCAGTCGGGACCTAATTCAGTACTCTGTGCAAAATATTGCTTTAGTCGGACCACTATTGGGAGTTTGGTGCACTATTTACATGAAATCGGACGAAACTATGCCAAATTTCATACAAATCGGATCATAAATGCGATCTGTACTTTGTTAACAAAAATACATGGACGGACGGACGGACATGCATATATCGACTCAGAAAGTGATTCTATGCATATTCACAAAAGGAACCATGGGTCTATCTCGATTATTTTTGCCTGTTACATACATATGCACAACGACACAATACCCTGTACCACAGTGCGGTGAAGGGTATAAAAAGGTGGTTATAAGGGGACCACCCCTAAAAGGAGGCGAATATTAGTAATTTTTAGGAGGGAGGTTTGTTACCATATACGACTACAAAAAACCAAATTACAAAGAATTTGGTTGAAAAACGCGTTCAAGAACCCCAAAATACCGAAAATTGGGGGGTACCCTTATATGGGGGCTACCCGAAAAAGTGGACCTATATTTATTATTTTTAGTGGAGATATTTGCTACCTAATAAGAACTCGATGTACTAAATTAAAGTCAATTCGGTCGAAAAATACGATCAGAACCCCCAAAATACCAAAAATTTGGGAGTACCGTTATATGGGGACTACCATATATATATATATATAATAATAATTAGTGGAATAATTTGGTACACAATAAGAACCGAATGTACAAAATTTCAGAGAATTCAGTTATAAAACGAGCCCAAGAACCCCAAAATACCGAAAACTGGGGTACCTTTATATAAGGGCTACCCGAAAAAATGGACCTATATTTATAATTTTTTGTGGGGACATTTAGTACCCAATAAGAACCCAATGTACCAAATTTCAGCGTATTCGGCGCTCAAGAACCCCAAAATACCGAAAATTGGGGGTACCCTTATATGGGAGCTATGCCTAAACGTGGACCGATTTTCTCCAATTTCAATAGGGTTCGTCCTTGGGCCAATTAAGTGACCTGTGCCAAATTTCATCCAGATCGGATCATAAATGCGACCTGTACTTTGTTAACAAAAATATATGGACGGACGGACAGACGGACATGCATAAATCGACTCAGAAAGTGATTCTATGCATATTCTCAAAAGGAACCATGGGTCTATCACGATTATTTTTGCCTGTTACAAACATATGCACAAAGACATAATACCCTGTACCACAGTGTGGTGAAGGGTATAAAAAAATCTACCCCACTTATTGTTCAATTTATTTATTTTATCCGAATTGGAAATGAAATGTTAAGAATTTGGAATTAATTTTTACGAATTACAACTGAAATATTATGATTTATAAATAAAATTTCATGAATTTCAAATTGAATTCATTGAATTTCAAATAAAAATATACAAATTACAAATGAAATTCTTAAAAATTCAGATGGAATTTTTTGAATTACATATGAAAAGTTTAAAATTACAAATGAATTGTTGTGAATTGCCAATAAAATACTTGAATTACAACTGAAATGTTATGAATTGCAAATTGAATTTTCGAATTACAAATGAAATTCTCGAATTGCAATTGAAATGTTTGGAATAACATTTGAAAAAGGTGTTAACTGTTATAATTTGATATCTCGGAACAAGTTGAGTTTAGGGGCTCATCTCCGATTTTTCTGAAATTTTTGTCATAGGTAGATCTCGTCTCCCTGATCACGAAAATATATGACTTTCGTGGGGGAAGTCCATAATTCCCGAGATATGGGCCTCTAAAGTTCCGAAATTCCTATGCTCATAACTTCGTTATTTATGAATCGGTGAAGGTAATATTGGTATGATTGTAAAGCGTACACATTATATTTCCACTTAAATTCGTCTTAATTATAAATTATACAAAATAGGCGGGCTTCGGCCGGGGATTTAAGACTTTCTCCTATGGACAGGCGGAAAATTCGGCTAACGCATCAACAATGTTTTTTAAACTAATTTTTTTCTAAATAGCCGGCCTTCGGCCGGGGATTTAAGACTTTTTGCTATGGACAGGTGGAAAAATTGGCTACGCGATTAAAATTTCCTTTATATCAAAGTTTTTCGTATATAGCCGGCCTTCGGCCGGGAAAATAAGACTTTCTCCTATGGGCAGGCGGAAAATTCGGCTAACGTATCAACAATGTTCTTAAACCAATTTTTTTCTAAATAGCCGGCCTTCGGCCGGGGATTTAAGACTTTCTGCTATGGACAGGTGGAAAAATTGGCTACGCGATTAAAATTTCCTTTATATCAAAGTTTTTCTTATATAGCCGGCCTTCGGCCTGGGATTTAAGACTTTCTCCTATGGACAGGCGGAAAATTCGGCTAACGCATCAACAATGTTTTTTAACTAATTTTTTCTAAATAGGCGGCCTTCGGCCGGGGATTTAAGACTTTCTGCTATGGACAGGTGGAAAAATTGGCTACGCGATTAAAATTTCCTTTATATCAAAGTATTTCCTTATATAGCCGGCCTTCGGCCGGGGATTTAAGACTTCTCCTATGGACAGATAGAAAATTCGGCTAGGCGATCGAAATTTTCTTTTAAATAAACATGTTTCTCTAAATATCCGTCAATATTACCATTATCGGCCTATAAATGTCCACGTTATGAGCATATGAATTCCGGAACTTCAGATGTCCATATCTCGGGAAATATGGGTTTCCCCCATGAATGTCATATATTTTCGTGATCAGGGAGACGAGATCTACCTGTGGTAAAAATTTCAGAAAAATCGGAGATGAGCCCCTAAACTCAACTTAAGCCGTAATTCGAGAATTTCATTTGTAATTCATAGAACACCTTTCGAAATTCGCAGAATTCCATTGGAAATTCATAAAACTCCATTTGAAATCACTAAAATTCCATTTGAAATTTATAAAATTCCATTGAACGCTGAATTTCTCAACATCTGTACCGAGCTTAATGTATCCGCTTCATTTTCTCCTGACCGGTTGCAAGCAAACATATCACATTAGGAAATTGTTGCCGGTATTTTTTATAAAATTTAATATTAAATGACATTCGCATGCAACACAATTTAGAAATAATTTTCTAGGGTAAATTATAATTTAAACCGTAATGTAATAATGAATACATTACAACACAAATGACCATGAGCAAAATTAACGAATGTTTATGTTTAACCGCGTGGCAACACGCTGAACGGAACGGAATGAAACAATTTGTGTCCTTTCTTCTGTGCCTTCATTCTAAACATGACGAGTGCCACGACGTTTTGCTTCACACTCATTCGTAAACTTGGCAAGTTTATTCCACGATTTTTGTTTCCATCTGGTTCTTTATCGACTATTCTCTTCTGTCTCCCCTATTCGCATCGTTCGTTTTTGATTATGTCGGTCATTATAGCCGATTTGCGGAATCCCTAATCGGCAATTCTCTCATGCCCCTCTTTCTCAACAATACGCTTCTTAGCCCTTGCCCATCACACCCCATTCGTAAATTTTTCGTTTTCCACTTTGAGTTCCTTTTTTATCGGCCATTTCTTCTTCTCCCTCATTTGTAGCTGGTGGAACGCTTTTTAATTTTTCTCAGTCTCTGAGAAGGCAGGCATTTGCAAAGAGTGGACAGTGTGGCCGAATTAAAAATAAATAAATAATGCAAATATAAGATTTTATTTTCAATATATTCAATATAAGTACAGTTTTGAGGCAATACTTTTTTCGAGAGAGTGAAGACGTATCCGATACCAACGATTACTGTGAGAAGTTTATTGCGAAAAAAGAAAAAAAAAGAAAAGCAAGCTATACCAATGAAATAAAAATAAAAAAATGTATAACTTGTTTGTATTTTTGTGAAATAAACCAACTAGAAACAAGTCAATTGGCAAAAACGCAACGCTGCCCGAAGAAAATAAATGTACTGTTCAATTCAATCAATAAAATGTTTGCTGGCGCTGTTTACAATCGCAGCGGCGCTGGAACATATCGCCTTGGTGTTTGCCAGCGGTCCCCAGCAACAACAGATACACTATCATGCCCCCTGTGACCGAAGTAGAAAAGTGCTGACAATGGAATATGGAGAAATCAGTGATGGACCGGCTGGATTCAATTACACACAAGATTCGCATTGCGAGTGGCTCATCAAGGCTCGCAATGATAGTCAATTCATTACCCTGACATTTCACACAATGGGAACGGAGTGTTCGTACGATTATATTTATGTTTACGATGGCGATTCCTTCAATTCAACACTCTTGGGCAGCTTTAGTGGCCGTACCCAACCACAGCGGCTGGTGGCACGCAGTGGAAGTGTAAGTTACAGAAAAATATACTATGGTGTTGAAATCTTGTTTGATGTATCTATATATATTTCCAGATGCTGATTTTGATGTACAGTGACACAAACTATGTTCTGGATGGATTTCGGGCTTCTTATTACATATCGAATTGTTTGAATAATTGCCATAGCCATGGAAAGTGTGTTGGTCATCAGTGTGTTTGTCACGGCGAATGGGTGGGTCCGGACTGTGAGGATGAAATATGTCCTAACAAATGTGGCGAGGCGCAAGGAAGAGGGAAATGTATCAAAGGAGTGTGTCATTGTGAAAATGTAAGTGTTAGAAGATTCATCACTACTACAAGCTAGTGTAGGCTTAAGTCCAGATCACGGATAGTTTTGTAATTTTAAACATACGTAATTCTATGGGCTCCGAGAGATCAGGGGGAAGGACCCTACATTTTCCCACTGTTTTTATTCTCTACAGCAGTATGGGTATCAATTTGTAGCGGTTGAGGACGTTGTGATTGTAAAAGCACACCCAATTATTTTTTAAAAGAGAATTCTGTCCCGTCCCGAGTTTGGTATATCGCCCATTTGCTGCTAGACCACTCGTGACCATGTTGTGTAAAAAATTCTGATGAATATCTCTTACACTCTGAGAAGCTGTAAAGTTCCTCTGCTCCTTGTAAAATGTGACATTTGACTTATGCCGGTCCTACAGCAAATGAGCGAAAATTGTTTAATATCCGGCCGAAGGCCATCCTATTTAAAATGGGATTTTGTCGCATAGCCGACTTTGTCATTTGTCCATAAAAGAAGTCTATTTATGGGTCCTAGTGGAACCTCTGATAATTTTTTATTTCGTTTATAATATCCTGATAGAATCATTGTAGACTCCATATAGTTTTGTAATCTAATGGATTAATTACAAAGTGAGGCAGATTTAATATTAAAGAATCTAAAATAGCGTAAATCCTATCCGATATTTAAAAATCGAACAATAATTCAGTTCGTTAATTTTTTTTTTGAAAATAGTTTTGGATTTTGTTCCCCACTCTCGTGGAAACGTTGAATTTCAAATTAGTTATATTTTATTCCTCTACAATGCCTCTCTATTTTAAATAAGCATGAATTTGAAGAAAATCGAAAAACCCATATCGGATTACATATTAAGTTGTACGTAATGAACGAACGCCTATTAAAATATTCCCTTCCGAAAATGTATTCTTCTAAATATAACAAAGCAATATGGTCCATATATATTATAAGCATTATTAACAATTAAATTTACTCAATTTAGGGTTATAGTGGCAGATTATGTGATCTACATGAAAACCCACCTGGCGGTAATTGGCGTTGGCTATCAACCGATGCTGAAGGAATGACAGCTCGTGCCGCTCATACAGCAGTTTATATCGAAGAAGAAGATTCCTTGTATGTTTTCGGTGGATACGATTTAAATAATGTTATAAGTACATTGCAGGTTAGTAAAATGCATCTTCTCATACAAATAGACAAGACATTGAAAAAAATATATATATATTTCAGATATATCGCTTCCAAACCAGCCAATGGGTTGATGAATGGGGCATCACATTACAAAATCGTCGACATTATTATCATCAACCGAAAATTGATCATACGCTTCTGAAAGCTGTACTACAACATAAAAACGAGGATGAGGCCAAACTATGGGGACTTACTAGTGATATTTCATTTTTTCGAAATATTCTCTACACATTGGCTGAAACGAATCCATCCAAAGATTTACATACGAGACGCACTGTTCGCAGTTCACCTCTTCTAACAACACTAACTGTCAACTCAACAGACGAAGAACTGACCGAATATTTGGAGGATATATTAGAGGAAGTTACAGACAATAAACCCCATGGCCGTTATGGCCATGCAGCTACAACCGTTCCTGGAGGTTTTGTTATATTTGGCGGAAAACAAGCAAATGGAAGTTTCTTTAATGACCTTTGGTTCTATAATCGAAGTGAAAGTGGCGGCAAATGGAAACAATTGGCAATGCAATCAAAATTGAAGGTGCCTCCGATGGCAAGACATACCATAACTTACGCTGGCGATTATTTGTATATTTTTGGTGGCAGTTTGGAGTCAGGCGAATTTTCCTCAGAGTAGGTTACCTTAGCTATCCTTAGAACCATGAACCACACATTTACTTTCTATATAACATTTATCATTTTTCTTTTATAGTATATATCGCATATGCTGGCCCATTACAAAACCGGATAGCGATGAAGAATGTGAATGGGAATTTATACATCCACGAGGGGGCAAAAAGTTAGATGTACGCCTAGCCGCGCATACCACGGTATACTACAAACCTACGAATTCTTTGATTGTTTTTGGAGGCATAATGACAAGCCTTGCACGATTCTCAAAACTATCCGATCGTATTTTTGCCTTCCAATTGGATAAATTTCATTGGACAGAGATACTATATCCACGCACAGCACTCAGAGATACAAATATACCGCGAGAACGAGCCTTCCATACGGCAACAGTTAGTGGCAATTACATGATAGTCTTCGGTGGCTATACACATCGCCACAATAAGGACGAGATATGCTATGACAATCAAATGTATTGGTATCATCTGTCATGCCACATTTGGATTAATCAGGAAGTATCGCCCGAGGATAATATCTACCCCAAGAAACAGGGTGTGTTTGCTCATGCTGCAGCCTTGAGGAAAAATAACACACTACTTATAGTTGGTGGCTACCATGGAAATGTAAATGCCGATCTCTTTGCCTATGAACTACCGCAGGTGTTGAGAGCCAATGGTATATTTGGTCATAATCCCGAAATGGCTTGTCGTTATCATACCTCGCATACAGCATGTTTATCGAATCCCGAGTGCGGTTGGTGTTCGGCAGACAGTAGTTGTTATGGCCGTACTATTGGGGCCAACTGTACTAGCAACTTGCAAACATCACGTTGCCCTGGAATATGTCCTTCGCTAGGCGATTGTCATTCGTGTCTGGTTCATGGTACTCAGTGGTCCAGGCCAGCAGATAATGGCGAAAATTACTTGTCTGTCGCCAGTAAATTGGGATTAAATGAATGTTCTTGGTGTGTGCAGAATGCTAAATGTCACCATCGTGATGATAACTATGGCATATGTGGAGAGGACACTCCATCACATAGTCCAGGTTGGTGGGGAGAACAGGGCACGGAAATCCGTCAGCCTTCCCAGTGCACACGAAATGATCGCAGACCCGGTTTAACCTATATCAAATACCATTATCCGGTCAATTTAACAATGCCAGACTATGTGGCCATTGTAAATGCCACAATGGTCGATTTTTCCTCGCCCACACCAACAACCCAGTACGAACAGAAAATGGAAGGTGAAATGTTGGCTCGTCTCTTGGGATTTGTTCGACCACAAAAACAATGGGAAGAAGAACCGACAGAAATTCAAGTTTGTACAAGTTATTCCAATGCTGTACTGAAAGCAGGTCTGGGTCGTGATTTGAGCTCATTGAAGGAATTGACCAAACAATCCTCGAATCAATCATATTGTAGCAATGTCGAGATTCCAAGTACAGAACAACCGTTTCTTATAGACTTTCAAGCTCGCCGGCGCATTGGTCTGAACAACATTTACAATACGTACCAGAAGACGAAAATGGAACTGCAACATATCTACCATGGAAATCTGAATGCTTTCACATTTGAATATCTGGAGCCATACTATTCGGGAGAGGATTGTAACCAGTACAAAAATTGCTTGCAATGTCTGACGGATAATGCGTGTGCCTGGTGCTCCCTTAAGTCGGAATGTATGCCGAAGACAGTTAATGAAACAGAGGCGTGTAGTCTCACCAAAGTAACGGAGAATAACTCCTCCTATGTCCTGTGGGAATATCTCGTGAATCAGCCCAGTCATTGTGCCAACTGTTCTAATTATGTTTCATGTGAAGAGTGTGTCGAATCGCGTTTATGTGAATGGTGGGCGGAAGAGGCTCGTTGTGCTCGCTTGGGAAAATCGGAAAACAGCGTTCGGGCAGTTGAACAATGTCCAGTCCAGTGTAGATTACGCACCAATTGTCAAGACTGTTTAAATGAGAGAGGCCGATGTGTGTGGTGCGAAGCTAAATCGGCATGCTTCAGTTTTGCAGTCTATACGAGTGAGTATCAGTTTGGAATGTGTCGCGAATGGCTAGACCAGTCTGTGAGTCCTCACCAAATTGAAGGGGACAGTGGTGTTATGATGACCTCCAGAACATCGGCCTTGATTCCCATTCACCATCAGGCCGTTCCAAAACAACAGCAATGCAAATCTTGCGCTCAATATCGCAACTGCAGTACTTGCCTCAAGACACTAAGTTGTGGTTGGTGTTTCGATCGTGACAATCCCATTGAGGGCAAATGCATGCAAGGTGACTTCAGCAGACCCTTTGGTAATTGTTCTTTGGCTTTGAATAGTTCCTACATACATGACGCCGAATGGGCGTATGCCCAATGTCCTGATGTGGATGAGTGCGGCTTGGGTCTGCATGACTGTCACAAGGAGGCTAAGTGCACAAATACCCATGGTTCCTATCGATGTCACTGTAGGAGAGGTTTTGTTGGAGACGGCAGACAGTCTTGCACCCGAACTTGTTACGAAACCTGTGTACATGGCTACTGTTCTGATGCCCCTGATTACGTCTGCCGCTGTGAATTGGGATGGACGGGTCCGGATTGTTCCATTAATTGTGGCTGTCATAACCATTCGACGTGTAACGAACGTGTGGGCAAATGTGATTCCTGCCAAGCTTGGACAGAGGGTGAACGATGTGAGCGTTGTCGCCAGGGCAGCTATGGGAATGCTACTTCAGCGGCCGGATGTACACCATGTGAATGTAATGGCCACGGAAATCAAGATCTAGGCATCTGCAATGTCAACAACGGTGAATGCTACTGTAAGGACAATACAGAGGGTGTTAAATGTGACAAATGTTCGCCAGGTTTCTATGGAGACCCTCGAGATGGAGGACAATGTTATTATCAATGCGAATCACGAGGAATGTTGCGAAATATGGGACGTAGTGGTATCGGTTCATATAAAGCCTACAAATCACCGTGGGGAGCTAAACTGGAGGTTAAGGAATGCCTATGGATTCTGGCACCGAAAACACTCCATGCCGAGAAGTCCTTACTACAAGTTGAGTTCGAATGGAATTCCCTTGCCATGGACTGCGATGAAAATGCTGTTTACATTTACGATAGCTTACCCGATCTGACCGGCGTTTCCCAACAAAATCAACTTATTTCTGTGGTCTGCAACCCGTACACCTCGTCACACATCATTGAGGCCAGGTCCAGCCATGTCACAGTGTATTACAAACAAGGAGGTGGTTTGCGCAAACACTTCGGCTTTAATGCCCTGTATACCGTGAAGAATTGTGTGGCCAACACTTGCCTACATCCGCATATTTGCGACGAACAACAAAGATGTGTATGTCCCGCCGGCTATGTGGGACCAAAGTGCGAAATTGAAATATGTCCTCGCAATTGCAATGCTAAACGTATGCAGGGCTATTGTGATACAGATTATGGTCGTTGCATTTGCAATCCAGGCTGGGGAGGAAAGGATTGCAGCACTGCCCTCAAACTGAATCAAATAACTGTTACGGAACTATTCAATACAATGCTATTGTCGGAATCCTATGAACATTTACGTAAAACCATACCCAGATTTGGTCATACCGTATGTGCCGATAGACGCGGTTCTCTATGGATGTTTGGGGGCTATTCTCCATCGCATGGCCCACTGAATGATTTCCGTCAATTCGACACGAAGAATGGCACCTGGATGCAAGTTACTGTGGAATCGACGCCGGATGATAAAATGCCGCTGGGTAGATATTTCCACGCTGCAGAGATCTATGTGAAACGCCAAACTATATTCATATATGGTGGCATAACAACCACTGGTGCAACAACGTCTCCGAAGCCGGAGATATTGTCGGATTTTTGGCAATTTTCGATACAAAATCAGCGTTGGTCTGAGTTAGATCTATCGGGTCATCGCGTGAAGCCACCGGCTCTTGCAGGTCACACACTAACCTATACTAGAAATAATGAACGAGAGTCATTGATTCTAATCGGTGGTATGACCTTAAATAAATCTCGACAACTGGAATTGTGGGAATTCAACCTTGAGACATTCAGATGGGAACAATTGTTGGCGTTGGGTGTACGCATGCCGGTGCTCTATGGCCACACCACAGTCTATCACAGCGAGAAACACATTATGTATGTGTTTGGTGGCTACTCTACTGAGCCACAGAATAAACTGTATGCCCTGCATTTACAAAAGATGACTTGGACAGAGTTGCCGCCATTCAAGGAACTTAACCGACCGGAATGGCTGTTGCCGAGGGCACGATACTTCCATTCGGCTGTGACCACTGATCAATACATGATAGTATACGGCGGACGGAATTTCCCCTATAATGCCAGCGACGTTCTCATTGCCTATGTCTATAACTGCAATCAGTGGATACGACTGACCGAGGATGTGAATATAGTCGGCCAACTGCAAATATCCACATACGCCGAAGACATATCCATAGATCACGAAAGTAATACGATTTACGTTATCGGCGGCTGGGATGGCAGTGCTGCTCAAAGTCATGTGACCAAGATTACCATACCCAATGATATTTGTCAACTATGGAGTGCTGGGAAGTATCTCTGCCGGCACTACATGGGCTGCAGTTTCTGTACGGTGTCGGCAAACTTTGTGACTTCTTCGTTTTGCTATTCCCACGATACGCACAGTAATGTGTGTAATAATGGCAACGGAACTCTGGTGTACAACAACGGAGCTGCTTGCGATGACGCATGGATGTCGAGGAGAAATTGTTCCAGTTTCACAACCTGCTCGGAATGTTTAGCATCTTGGCCATCCCATGTGGAGACAACGCCCGTCTGTCAGTGGTGTGATGAGTGTGGCATTAAGGGTAGATGTGTTCCAGCCGGTGTCGATTGTGAACGTCGTTTTTGGTGCTCCAAAGAAGTCAGTGTTGGACTCTTGAATTTGTGTCCCCAGCCTCAGTGTCACACGTTGTATTGTGAAGCTTGTGTCCTAAATGAGAACTGTGAATGGGCACAAAATGAATTGGGAACAATTGAGTGTATTACCAAGGAGCTGGTGGAGCAAAATCAATACAAGATTATAGGTCAATGTCCTCTGCCCTGCCACCATTACACAAACTGTTCGACCTGTTTGAGTAACGACGACAGTGAACAGCCCAAAGATTGCAAGTGGTCTACCATGCTGAATACTTGTCTATCGCCACAATCACAGCCACTGCTGTGTGCTGGTGGTGTATGTGGTTTGGTGTTGGAAGCCAACGAAACAGACCACTGCCCTGAGCCTTGTAATGTATACACACAATGTTCGACATGTTTGGAACATGCCCACTGTGGTTGGTGTGCTAGGGATGGTTATAATGGCGATGGTATTTGTACTGAGGGATCATTGGAAAACAAACAGGAATATCCTTCGTCGTCTACATGTGATCTAATCTATGCCCAACTTCGCAATGACTCAATGCTGAAACCTACGGATGTTGTGTCGTGGAACTATGTTAAATGTCCGGCTGAAAACGAGTGTACAAATGATCATCATCACTGTCATCCCGAGTCTGAGAAGTGTATCGACACTCCTGATGGATATCATTGCGAATGCGGTGAAGGTTATCGTCCCGAAAATGACACCTGTATACCGGTCTGTAGTCAAGGTTGTGTTCGTGGCAATTGTGTGCGTCCCGATATGTGTGAATGTGATTTTGGTTATGTCGGTGCCAACTGTAGTATTCAATGTTTGTGCAATGGTCATTCGAATTGTAGGGGACCCAATTTACTGGACGATTGTATTGAATGTCACAATAACACCATGGGACCACAGTGTGAAAAATGTCAACCGTTATTTGTGGGTGATCCCAGGGAAGGTAGAGCCTGTGTGCCATGTCATGAATATTGCAATGGACATACTGATTCGTGTATAGCCCACGATTCGGAACCAACCTATTTCAATATGACACGTGAAGAGTTGGAACGTAATCTGCCCGAGGGGCCACTGGGCAATGCAACATGTCTTCGGTGTGCCAATAACACGGCCGGTGAACGTTGTGATACATGTATTGTGGGCTACTTTCGCGGTTCCGAAGATCATCGAAAAGAGTGTCGTCCATGTCAGTGTCATGGCCACGGCAATGTCTGTGATCCGGTAACTGGAGAGAAATGTAATTGTGGCAACAATACGGAGAGTGACGCCACATGTACTGCGGGTGGTGGTAAAAACTCGGCTCATCTATGTTGGAGTGTTCAATGTTCGAAATGTCGTGACTCATATGCTGGAAATCCAATTGATGGCCATCAATGTTATAAGCAGATAACGGTGGAATCAAGAATGTGTTTCGATGCAAAACCTATAGGTGAGTAATACAATATTTATGGTACTATTTGTTTTTACTATAAATAGAATCCAAAAAAAAGTGATTATAACTTAAATTAAAAAAAAAAATAATTAAAATTCCAGGGCTCATCTGTTTGCATAGTAGAGTTTGTTTCAGTTTTGTCCAAGCAATAATTGAGACAATTTCCTTTTCCTTTAGTTTTGCTACAAGTGTATATTGAATATTTGAATTGGAGTATACTACACAGCTTGTTGTTTAAACTATTAGACTTTATGATCATTCTTTTCATAACAATTATTATGCTGATTGAAATCATTTTAATTTTGATTTTTTTGTTCGTTTTCAGAGGAATGCAAAGCAAAGCCGGCAGCTTTAAAACCCGGACAAACAGTGTTCTTTGTCATTCAACCACGCTTCATGAATGTCGATATACGCGTCATTATTGATGTTACACAGGGTGAATTGGATGTATATATGTCACCCCAAGATGATTCGTTTATTGTTGAGACAAATGAAACCAATGGCTATCATGAAATCTTCTTGGACAATCGTTACAATTGGGGTCCCAAAATTAAACGCTCACATCCACTGAATATAGCCCAGCCGAAATATGACAACACCACCTCGTATTCGAAATTGGTTATGAATGACAAACGCAACAGTTATTATGTTCCGCATATTCAAGACTGCAAAAGTCATGGTGGTCATAGTTTCTATGTGAAAGATCAACATGCCAAGGATTTGAGCACCCATGTCACATTGAATCATTGCAACACCTTATTGAGATTATTTGGCTTGAAAAATCGATTGGTTTTAACTTTGCCACAACACGCTCACAATTTAAGTGCCACGAGATTTTTCATAGCCCTGCGAGCCAGCTCTGGCCCTGAACCTAGCTACGGCTCCGTTGTGTTCCGTCAAGATCAATTGCACATCGATTTGTTTGTATTCTTTTCGGTGTTCTTTTCTTGTTTCTTTTTGTTTTTGGCTGTTTGTGTGGTCATATGGAAGGTGAAACAAACCGCGGATATTAGAAGAGCTCGACGACAACATGTTGTAGAACTATTGCATTTAGCCAAACGTCCGTTTGCGTATGTATTTCTGGCGGCAAACTCCTTCGATTTGGATAGTCCACATCCAACAACATCGTCTACATCGGCAGCAGCAAATAACCGAGTTGTTCGCAGTGCCACCGGTGCCCGGTCAAAGCATCAACATCAGGCGACTAGTGGTGGCAACAATCAGTTGCCCGAGGTATTGTTAATAGCTATCGAGCCGACGGCTGATAATTTAGCAGCAGTTGGAACGGTATTCGTAAGTTTACCCGGTCGTTACAAGGCTCCTCTGAGCATGGCATTAGGATCCACATTAATATCATATCCACCACGTTTATATCAAGTGAATAATCGTAACTATACTCGGGTGAATACTAGGGGAAATTCTGCACCGGTAAGTAGTGGGGGTGGTGGTGCTGGTGTTGTTGCCCCAGCACCCGTACCACAAGTTGCTGCTGGTACAGCCAGACAAAATCGTCAAGGTGCCATTGCTGATGCGGATGCTTTACCTGTATATAATTTGAATTTGTAAAATCACAAACCAAGACAAGAAACCAAGCAACCAGCAAACCAACAAACAAACATCTCTAACAACAATGGAATTTACAAAAAGACAAATACTATAGAAAAAATAACAACTTCCAGGAATACCATAAACCAATGGCGTTCAACATTAGTCTAATCTCTAGTGAATTGATGATAATTTTTCGTGCATATATACATCTAATATATATATATAGAAATGTAAGTATAGATTTAAAAAAGCGTTTTGTATATTATTATTTGTTTAGTATTAAGATATACATTTATTAGACATCTCTCTTTAACCAGTGTGTTTAAATTGAAAAATGTGTGTGTTTTTTGTGGATTAGATAATCAATTTACAAAATATAAAATAATAACAATATGTAATTTCATATTAAGTTTGTACATTTTTTTGATGTGCATTTTAAAGTGATCAAAATTTTTTTCGATCGGTTCATTCACCTCAGAGTTTGCTGCTTTTAATTTTCATTTTCGAGAAAAAATGTGGTATGATGGCAACACAACAATGCAATATATACAATTTAAAATGTGATATTTTTTTTATTAAATCAATATATCTCTTTTAATTATTTGCAATATTTTCTACTTTTTTTAGAATCAAGTGAAAATTCATACTTGTCATAACTAAAAATAACAATTTCAGAAATGCAGCTAGTTAATTTGATTGTTGTTGCCATTAAACTATTTGTATTTCTATTTTGGTATTATTAAATTCGTATTTCATTCCTTTTCAGAAGTTTATCATGTTTAGTTTAAGTAAAAAAAGTGCAATAATATTAACATACATAAATAAACACAGCATACACATCTTAGACAATATCCAAAAAAGAAAAAAATATGCTATATAGCTACTAATGCCCATTGAAATTTCCAAATTATAACACAAAAGAAAGCATTTACTCAAAATCATATTTGGTAATTATGATTCTATATAGTAGTTTGGAAAATCATATTTAAGGTCTCATAAAGGAATGGAGGCAAAAGTAAAAAATGACTGTATAGATCATCACAGATCATTCCAAAAGGGAAATTAATAAAGTAGAATACTGCCATCTTTGTGTGGTTGAAGAGGAAAGGGAAACACTAGAATATCTGCCCATGCTTGGAAATAGAAGACTCCGAATAATGTTCGTTAGGTATGACATAGACACTCAACACCGTTTTGGCCAAAAACTTGTCGTGGTTCAGTTTCCAACCCCTTTACTTTTACCAATTATTTTAATTTTTTTCTTTTCTATATTCTCTCCTTACAAAGTCTTTTAGGATGATCACAAATGTCTGTGGTCCTGTAACCTTAAGTAACGGAAACTCTTAGAGGTATCTTTTGATGTGCATTCCTTTGGGAAAGGCAACATGATAAGGATATAGTTAGATTAGATTATGCAAGTCCGTGTGCCCCAGTAAATACGATTATAGTTTGCCCAGTAGGCATATTCTGTAACTTTTAACAACGTTCGATATTGTTTAATTTTCTTTTGTTATTGTAAAAACAACAAAACAAACAAATGAAATTGTTGTAAAATAAACAATGTCGAATGTTGTTAAAACGTTACAGAATAGGCCTACAGTTCTGCCAACTGACCCAAATTAATTAGGCAAATTTAATTCGTATGATGTATTTGAATATCATTTTGTCTATGTTTTATTTGTTTTTTAATCGTATCCATAGTTATGGTTTATTCAACAGTTGAGCAATGCGATCCTGCAATATTCCTTTATAATGATCTTCAATAATGATTTTACAACAGATATTTAATTTGGAAATTATTTTAAAGTCTATAGTTTAAACTTAATAATTTTTGCAGAAGAGATAAGAATTGAAATCAATCCCAAACAAATATATATTACATACAAAACAATTAACGTCAATTCTTCAGAACACAAAAAAAAAAAAAATACTAAAATCAATCAATATTTGCAAAATAAAAACTTTTAACCATAAACCCGAAACTCAAACAATAATCTATATAAATCCACAATATTAATACCATCATATACTATAAAAAAAGAACATTATCCTTAAGTAGAGAGAATATAAAGTTTACAAAAGCAAACAAATCGAACAAATGTTTCATAAGTAAAAAAAAATAATATTAAAAAAAACAAATTTTGTACAATGTATATATACAATATATTAGAATTAAATAACTCTTTTTTTAGTTAAAATAAGAACTGAGTCACATGAACAAATCACCCAACTTGCTCAAATTATTTAACAATTAATTAGCGAATAGTTTGGTGTTTGCACATGTGTCGGTATGCTGGACAAATAATATCTGGCACTTCTAACAAAACGCAACCTTTAACTGCAGAAACATAACCATTAAATCAAGATTTCATGACAATATTTGTATTTAAATTTGTAAACATTTTCTATGCATTTTTTCGATATTCCTTCTGATTTTTTATTAATGTAATAATTCTAAACCCTTTTCATATTGGTGTGAAACATTTTGTATTTAGTGTTGGTTTACTCTGGTGTATTAATTTTTGTAATTTACTTAATGCACTCCAAAGTTTTGTGTGAATTGTTCTTCATGTTTCACAATCTCCTGTACTGTTAACAATTTTTATGACCGACAAAAGGTAGTTATTAAAGCCAACGGATAGAAAATAAAAATGTCAATGATAGAGACTTTTTTTCATTCAAAACAGATCGATGTGCAATAATTATGTCACTAATTTATATTTCTGTTTCAACATTTTGATTGTAGGTCTTCAATTTGATATTCGCCACTATTCCAAACAGTTTTACCATAAAGTAAAAAAAATAACATTGAAGCATTTCTAATAAATTTTTAATACAAATGATTTTCAAAACGTGCATTTAAACACTAATTTCGTTGCATATTTTCTAATCACACAATTTAAATTCTTATATCTAATTAGTTATTAATAAAAAATTGAACATATCTATACCTCATACGACTCTCTTATATCCCCCTCCTTTTAAATCCATCCGTGTCAGTGTTGTAACATTATTTTATAAATATTCTTTTGTTTTTTATGCAACAACACTAAACAGTATAATGATATTAAATTGTATTTCGTTTTCGAATGTATTTTTTTATTGTAGCTGTAATTTCTAAGAATCTCATTTACAAAAATCTCTTTAAGGTATTTGGTGTTTCGTCCCTATTATTTAGTGTAATGTATATTTTTTTGTATATACTATAAATATTTTTGAAATTTGTATTTTTTTATTTTTAGTATAATTTCAATTTTTGTTGCAATAAATTGTTAAAAAAAAATAATATGGTTGTGTTTTGTTTTGTTTAAAAAATCTACACATTTTTTATAATTTCTCTATAAACTACGAACTTTTCTTTACATTAAGAAACAAAAACAAGTTAAGTAAATAAAGAATACGATTGAATGTGTAAAAGAAAAAAATAAATAAATACGAAATCCTCAAATATAAAATAAAATAATTTGATACATTAAGTGTGTACTGAAATCGTATAATTCGTTTATTCACTTCACTTCACTTCTTGTAAAAACTTGCTATGTCCGAAATGTTCTAAAATTAGCTGTGTCTGTTTACTCCAACTTCCAGTAAAAAGAAGTTTGACAATTCTATGCTGAGAATTTACGGGACAAGTTTCGTCTTGATACAGAATTACACGTTAAACAATCTTACTGAGTAAATATTACTGTTTTTTCACAAAACTTAAGTAAAAGTGTGTACATAGAGTTTTTTTGAATTGTTTATTACTGATCATGGTACAATAACAAGAGGTAGGTTAATTGTACCCGCTGATTACATTTTCTTTGTGTGTGTCCCTGCTCTCTCAAAACAATAACTCAATTTGTATACATATGTGTTCCAAATTCAGTTGTAATTGCAATTCAACATTACAGCATTCAGAAACAACATTTTAAGGGTTTTGGGAAGGAATATTTTTAATTTCTCATACAAAATTTTCTGAAAGTTTTTCATTTTTGGAAATTATTTAAAGATGTCAAAAAATGTCCATATTTTCTGTTAATGGAACAGTCTCTATAGCACTAATGCACAAAATAGCGACATGACAATAAAAGACAATTGAGTCCATGCATGGTATAACTATACAAGGGAGTCTCATGCAGTCATATATTTCCAATTTTTTCATAAATTAGCCTTTGACAGCATTTAGCTTTTAAAATTTAAATGCAGTTCGTCATCGGACGGCTCACAAGAAAGACGCATTTTAAAAAGTTAATCACGCTTACGGGATTAAAAAATTTCAAAATCGCGCTTAACTTGTTTTATCTACTGAACTAAACGAAAAATAGTTTATCATCAAATACAAATTTGAGCGAAAATTATATTTTTAGACGGTGACTACAAATGGTGTATGGTCTTATAGTGCATTTACATTTAACCGGATTTCGTTAAACCAGTGGGTTTTAATTGTCAAATCCTTTGCACATATGTCAAATAAATCCTCATAACGTAGGTTAACCCAGTAAAAAGTTCTAATGTATATGCCGTTTTATACCTTCTATTTTAATAGAAAGTTGACTAGCCCTCTGTTTTTTAAAATATAAAAAAAAATAAATGAAAATATCTTCATTCGAAATGTACGCAAATCATGTGTTCAGTGGCAAAAATTGCTAAATCATTTATATTTATAAATATTTTGAAGTTCCCTGCCTGTAAAACTTGTAAATATAAGAGGTAACAACCATGGTTAAATTTTGCGAACAATGTTCAGCTTTAGAAAATATTTTTTGTTTAATTTATTGAAAACATGCCAATCGACATACATACAATTTTATGGAATCTATTTTTCATATTATTTCAAATTGATAGATGAGTTCCAAATTAAAAATGAGACTACCTTCTGTAATTATGCCATGGATTCCATGTATTAATTGTCAAAAAATTAAAAATTGGCTCTGTGACGTAGGCGTCCAGACAATTTGGAATTGGTCTGTTCCAGTACTTTTTTAATAGTAAAGCTAGTAAAAAGAAAAAATTTCAATCTAGTAAATATGTCAAAA